CCATTTGGAAAAGAGAATTGATCACAAAGAACTAGAATTGTTTTATATGCCAGACTAACTTTATTTCCCATTTTGGCAGGGTTTCTAAAATGCTTGATAAGAGAAATGGCATAGTTTCTCTAGATTTTAGCAATTTGATAAAGTCAGTTTTTTTTTTTTTTACTTTTGTAGAAAAGATGGGTATGTGAGGATTAGATGAAGGTACAACAAAATAGTCATGGAACAGTTTGGATGGTTAGGCCCAAAAAGTTCAATGTCAAGATGCGGGGAACAACCCAGGGATCTGGGCTTGACCCTATGTGGATTAACATTTTTTTTTAAGTCAATGACTTAAAGACATTAATGGCATACTTATAAACTTTCAGATAACATAAACCTGGGAAGCAAAGTCAACACACTAGATAACTGAATAAGAATTCAAAAAATTCTTGATGGAGTATAACATTAGACCAAAGTGAATACGTGAAATTTAATAGAGATAAGTGTAAAATCTAACACTGGGGTTAAAATAATAAACTTTATATCCATAGGAATGGAGAAAGTTGACTAAAAATAGGAAAAAAATGTGGAGGGCTTCAGTGGATAGCAAGCTCAATGAGTCAACACTGAGTTACAGCACTCAAAATGCTAAATGCAATATCCTACGTTAAAAAAAAAAAAGCATTGCTTCTAGGCATAAAGAAGTGACAGTCCCTTTGTACTCTAATCTAGTTAAGTCTCTTTTGGAGTATTGAATTAGATTCTTGGGCTTATATTTTTTTTAAATTTATTTTTATTAATTTATTTACTTTTAGTTTTCAACATTCACTTCCATAAGATTTTGAGTTTTAAATTTTCTCCCTCTCCTATTTCTTCCTTCCCCAAAGATGGCATACAATCTAATATAGGCTCTATATATACATTCATGTTAACCATATTTTCCCATTAGTCATGATGTAAAGAGCAATTAAAATTAACCACAAGAATGAAGCAATAAAAAAAAAGGGAAAAAAAGAGAGCAATTAGTGTGCTTCCATCTGTATTCAGACTCTATATTTCTTTCTCTGGGTATGGATAGCAATTTCCATTATGAATCTTTTGGAGTTGTCTTCAATTCTTGTGTTGCTGTGAAGAGCCAAGTCTATCAAAGTCAGTCATCCCATAATGTGACTGTTACCGTGTACAATGTTCTCCTGCTTCTGCTCATTTCACTCAGCATCAGTTCATGTAAGTCTATCCGAGTTTTTCTGAAGTCTACCTGCTCATCATTTCTTACAGCACAGTAGTATTTCGTTGCATTCATATACCACAACTTGTTCAGACATTCTCCAATTGATGGGCATCCCCTCAATTTCCAATTCTTTGCCATCACAAAAAGAGCTGCTATAAATACTTTTGTGCATATGAGTCCTTTTCCCCATTTTTATGATCTCTCTGGGATACAGCCATAGAAGTGCTTTTGCTGGATCAAAGGGTATGCACAATGTTATAGCTCTTTGGGCATAGTTCCAAATTCCTCTCCAAAATGGTTGGATCAATTCACAACTCCATCAACAATGCATTAGTGTTCCAATATTCCCACATCTTTTCCAATATTTATCATTTTCCTCTTTTGTCATATTAGCCAACCTGATAGGTGTGATGTGGTACCTCAAAGTTGTTTTGATTCACATTTCTCTAATCAATAGTAATTTAGAGATTTTTTTTCTAATATGAATATAGATACTTTAGTTTCTTCCTCTGAGAACTGTGTGTTCATATCCTCTGACCATTTAACAATTGGGGAATGAACTGTATTCCTATAAATTTAACTCAGTTCTCTATATGTTTTAGAAATGAGGCCTTTGTCAGAGACACTGATTGTAAAAATTCTTTCCCACCTTTCTTTTTACCTTCTAATCTTGGATGCATTGGCTTTATTTGGGAAAAAACTTTTCAATTTAATGTAATAAAAATTATCCATTTTGCATTTCATAATGTTCTCTATCTCTTATTTGGTTATAAATTCTTCCCTTCTCCATAGATCCGGAAAGTAAACTATTCCTTGCTCTTCTAGTTTGCTTATAGTATCAGTTTTTATTTCTAAATCAGGTACTCATTTTGACTTTATCTTGTTATAGGGTGTAAGATGTTGGTCTATGCCTAACTTCTGCCATACATTTTTCCAGTTTTCCCAATAGTTTTTGCTAAATAGTGATTGCTTGTTCCAGAAGCTGGAGTCTTTGGATTTATTAAATAGTGGATTAGTATAGTCATAGACTGTTGTGTCTTGCATACACTGATCCACCACTCTATTTCTTAGCCAGTACTAAGTGGTTTTGTTGATTGCTGCTTTATAATACAATTTAAGATGAAGTACAGCTAGGCCGCATTCCCTTGCATTTCTTTTCATTCCTTTGATATTCCGGACTTTTTGTTCTTCCAGATGAATTTTGTTATTTTTTTTTAGCTCTATAAAATAATTTTTGGCAGTTTGATTGTCATGGAACGGAATAAATAAACTAATTTAGGTAGAATTGTGTTTTTTTATCATATTAGCATGGCCTACGCATGGGCAATTGACACTTTTTCCAATTATTTAGATCTTACTTTATTTGTGTGAAAAGTGTTTTGTAATTGTTTCCATATAGTTCCTGGTTTTGTTTTGGCAGGTAGACTTCCAAATATTTTATAGTGTCTACAGTAATTTTAAATGGAATTCTCTTTCTATTTCTTGCTGCTGGGCTTTGTTGGTAATATGTAGAAATGCCAATGATTTATGTAGGTTTATTTTATATCCTGCAAATTTGCTAAATTTGTTTATTTTTTCAATTATATTTTTTACTTGATTCACTAGAATTCTCTCAGTATATCATCATATCATCTGCAAAGAGTGATAGCTTTGTTTCTTCTTTGCCTATTCTAATTCTTTCAATTTCTTTTTCTTCTCTAATTGCTACAGCTAACATTTCTAGCACAATATTGAATAACAGTGGTGATAATGGTCATCTTCGTTTCACCTTGATCTTATTGGAAATGCTTCTAGTTTATCCTCATTGCATATAATGCTTGTTGATAGTTTTTGATAGATGGCATCTATCATTCTAAGGAAGATTCCATTTATTCCTATGTTCTCTAGTGTTTTAAATAGGAATGGGTATTGTATTTTGTCAAATGCATTTTTTGCATCTATTGAGATAATCATATGATTTCATATCTTTCCTTTCCATGTCTCTCCTTTTTTTTCCCTTTCCATACCTTTCCTTTCTTTTCCTTTCCTACTTCCTCTCCCTCTGTCCACATGGAGTATCATGCCCTTACCTGTAGGTGCTCTGCCCAAAGTAATGCAAATTTTGATGGATGAAACCTTCAAAGATATCTTAAGATTTATGGGCTAGATCTCTTTCTTAAAAGTCATATCTTAAACTCAATTCCCTCTGTCTCTCATTGAATGATCAACAACAGGTCCCAGACCAAGCCCAACTTAGTGGTCATTGTTTGGTTCTGGATGGCTCAGAGTGAATGGTAAATAGCAATTGTTTATGTTTTGCCCAGAAACCCTGAGTGTCTTCCCTTTCCAGATTGATAATTTTTTTATCTGAGTAGGTAAGAGGTCATTTTTTTGTCTCATTTCTTACCTAGCCTTAATCACTGAATGGACTTTGCCTCAGTCAAACTGAGACCTGAGAAAGACCTTAGCTTAAAAAGGCCACAGTCTCCCACTGCATCCAAGGCCATCTCCAGTTGTCCTAATCTATATCTTGCCACTGGACCCAGATGCCTCCAGAAGAGAAAGTGAGACTGGTGACTTTGCACATCCCTCCCTCACTTAAATCCAATTTATTTGCAAGTCATGGCATCACCTTCCTGATGCCATGATCTTCTTTGAGAAAGAAGGACAAACAATAACTAAGCACTTTACAAACAGTATCTTATAAATTATATAAAATAATAATTATATTACAATATAATATTTACAAATATTAAAAACTTTACAAAATATTAGCACTACCAAGCTACAGCAGGATTAGTGGGGGTGGGGAGGCAAAGGGCCGGTGGCAATGCCAGATGAAAGTTTGCCAAAATAGTCTACCCAAGATCTATGTACGTATATGGGCAGGAAATGAAGCTATGATCACCAAACCTCATCATCTAATAATTTCTTTCAACCTTCTCCCCAATTAATCAACTAGAATTTATTAATACTTTCTGTGTGGTAGGCATTATGCTATTTACTGGGAATACAAATGCAATTAATGAAGCAAACACTATTCCCATGGAACTTACATTAAAAAGAATAAATACACATATAACTATATACAGAATAAACATAGGCTTAACACAAAGTAGCCAACTTTGAGGCAGTTTGAACATGAAGGCAATCATAGCTGTGGGAATGAGGAAATGAATTCTCTAGATAGAAGAAGCTAGTTCTTACCACATTTTTGGAAGTTACCACAAAATAAGGAAAATGTACTGATTTATTTCAGTCTCTCAATCTCTCTCTCTCTCTCTCTCTCTCTCTCTCTCTCTCTCTCTCTCTCTCTCTCTCTCTCTCTCTCTCTCTTCCCTCTCTCTCTCTCTCTCTCTCCCCCCCAGGAGAATTAGCCTTTGAGAAAATACCTTAATTCTTAATTAGCTTCAAAATAGCCAACCACAAATTTTAACACTTTGCTATGTATTAAATACTTCCATACTTATCTATATTGCAGAAACTATTACATTAGATATTTCCATTGTAATGGAAGATTGTTAGTTGGAGAAATTGGTTTGGCATATTTCCTAGTTCCAACAGCTGCAGAAGCTATATGTAGTTTGTTCCAAAAGGAGAAAATATATGCGGATCATGTATATATTGCAAAAATATAGAAAAACAGAAATGCTCAGAGAAAATTATACATTTCCCCAAGAATTCTGTAAGTCTAGATTTTAATCTCAAATTTCTTTCCTTTTAAATAGATTCCAACATAAGAAGAGCTTAAAAGCAACAAGGACAATATCTTTAAGTTCAATCAACAAACATTTATTAACGAAGAAGTTGAAAATGAGACAGAAAGTAGGAATCACGGTGGGACAATCTGTGGAAGAAAAGTATAGTTGATGAGTTCAATGGTGTAAGCAGAATGGCTGGATTAACTTTGACAATCTGTATTGTAAAGCATAAGAAGGGAAGAGATAATAGGGAGAGATATATAAATTATGTAGAGTGAAGAGAAGGGGTTAAGGGGAGCTCACAACAAAGGGTCTCAGTTTTTGCCTTTGTTTTGTTTGAAATATAAGGCAACACTATCAGCTGGGAGAGTGTGGGGAATAAGTTCTGTGTATGTCTTGAAGAGAGAAAACAAAATTTAGACCAGGTGCTCTGGAGAGTGGGATTGCAAATCAATTAAGGAGGGGAATGTAGAGCAATCCTTGTTGAATTGAGGGACCAATTAAGATAAAATGACATAAATTTGTAGAGGACCCATTTGGAATCATTTTGTGATTTCCTCCAGTACCAATCAGCAGTGTATAAATGTGAATTAAAGGGTTATATCAGAGGTTCCCAAATTTATTTGGCCTACTACTCCCTTTTCAAAAAAAAAAATTACTCAGACATTTTGATATATATATATATATATATATATATATATATATATATATATATATATATATATATATATATATATATTTAAATAACCCATCTTAAATTTAAATATTTATTGTAAATATGTGGGTTTTTTTCTTGCATTGAAATTTTGATGATTCAGTATTGCCTCATGTAACCATATAGTATTATATTGTAAACACGTCATTACATGCACATGTTCCTGCCATTACATGCTGGGCTTCGCAATAATGTGCAACACGCTTACCTGCCAACATTTGCTTGTTAAGACCTGTTGGTGGGCTTGACTACTGATTGTTTACAACTGGTATTTTGTGTGTTTATTTGGAAAATAATGTAATCACTATGACTTTAACTCTGTTACACGACAGACAAAACGTACATTTTTTTCAAAATGTTATTATCTTCTCTTCTTCCCTTATACTTCCACTGCCACTTTATTTTTATTCAACTTCTCCAATTGCACCCAAGGCTACTAAACACCCCCAATCATTCCAGCACCCCGTACAGGGTGGTATCACTTACTTTGGGAACCTCTGAGTCTAATCTGAGGCTGGGGTTTACAGAGGCATGGTTAATAAGATGGCAGGATATTTGATAATAAAGGGTAGGGTAAAATTGAGTTGGTTTGCAATGTGATAGAGATAGGAAAAAGAAGGGACTGTGGGTAGCCCAGAGATGAATGAACTGACAGCTAGAAAGAGCGGATGTCATAATGAGGACAAAGAATAGAATTAAGAGTCTCAAGGCACAGAGAAAGTCAGAAGGGTTAAAAAAAAAGGTTATCACCAAATGAATTTTGGAGTTCATGAGCAGGAAAGGATGGCAAGATCAAGGGATGATAATTTCTGTACATAGCTGAGGTGGGGTAGAGGAATAAGTCCTCTAAATAGAAGTAAATAGATTGAGAAATTGGAATGTTAAGGTATTTGAAATAGCAGTAATATGTATATTGAAGTCCTGTGTAGTAAGAGACAGAAGTTGGAGAGGAGAAAGAAACTATGATCAGGTAACCAATCGATGAAAGAAAGCTAATATCTGCTTGTATTCAGGAAATGGGCTGGGTGATAAAATTGAGTGGTGTTAGAAGAAGAGATAGCTGAATGATGGTGGCAGAGAGAGACTCTGCAAGTATCGATGGGGAACAAGAGGCATATCTACCCTGGTGAATAAGAGGATGTGAGAAAAAGGTTGAGTCAAAACTGGGAAGAGTAACGAGGGAAATAGTGTTATTAGAAAGCTGTCCTGTCTCATGAAGTACTAAAAGATGGAAGATGTGATAAAGGAACAAGTTTAAGATGAAAGAAAGTTTGAGGGTGCAATGGTTGGGACAGGCATATCTGAACCAGGGCATTAGGGATATTCTATTGAAGTGATGGGAGTAAGGTTGAGGAAGTTGGGCATGGGGAACAGTGTTTGGATATTGGTAGCTGAGGTTTCAGAATCATCAGTATAGGGAAAGAATAAGGGACTGGATATAGTTGGTGAGATATGCTTCTCCTTGCAAGGTGGGCAGGTGGGATATGACAGAGGACAGAATTTCTGAGAGAAATATTGTTGGAGGAAGTAACTACAATGAAGAAATCAGTTTGTTTAACTTAAAGGTAAAAACAAGGCAGATCGGCGCAAGCACATAAAAGACCTTGACAGTCAAGTATAAATTGATAGATGAATGATAGTTAATAGACAGATTCTATGATACTCTCTTATGATTCATCAAAGATAATTCAGTTCAAATACTTATCAAATTCCTATGTACTACACACAGGTGTGTCATGGTTCCCAACTTAGAGCTTCTTACAATGTAGTAATATACATACATAGATACATATATATATACATATAAATGTATATACAGAGAGATACCTCTATCAGTCCTCCATGATGCAGAATTTCTTTTTTTAAATAAAAAAGTTATTTGCAAGATACTACATAAAATTTTGTCATATTCCAGCAGAAGGAACTATTATGGTCAAACAATCTCTCTCTCTCTCTCTCTCTCTCTCTCTCTCTCTCTCTCTCTCTCTCTCTCTCTCTCTCATCACATATATGTACAATACTTTTACACTATTCTTCATTGGTAATACTTGAAAACCAATGATATCCACCATATACTTCTCCATTGTTTTATTGGTGATTTGCCACTTTAACTTTTCCAAAAATCCAAAACCATACACTTTCCATGACAATGGGTAGATAATAGTCTATCATCTCCAGCCTGACATCTATGTTCCCAGCTATCAGAATATAACAGTGTTTATTTTATTGTACTTATGCTCTAATAATTGTCTTGTTTAAGTTCTAAATCTACACATACTAGTTAGTGGAAGAAAGTTGTGTGATTTTTTTTTCAAATTTTCCTCTTAATATTAAGAACAACAACAACAACAACAGTAAATGGCTCTTATCTGTTCTGTGCTTTGTAACACTAGCAGAATAATGTTCTCAGCCTACAAACCAAACACCAGGGTCTGGCTGTTGGATTCTTCTTGTTCTTTCCAACATTTTGCCTTGTGAACAAAATGGCAAAAGAATCATATAGAGAAGAGAACAACAGTGAACAGCTTTTGCTGCCTTGTACTTTGGGGCCAAAAGACCCAAAGTAAGCAATGTTGAACTCCTAGCTCTCATTGCCTTCTCTCAGATTCTCTTCATGTTTCATGGATTACCATTGTAATTTGGCCTTTGTGAAACTACAACAGTGAACCCCACACCAAATATCTCTGTGTTATGATTTCATCTGTGTAGGATCTTACTCTATCATTGAAGATACTAATTTTACACAGGTATTTTAATGATGTATTGAGGGCAAAAAAAAAAAAAAACTTTTTTTTTTTTAGTAATTTCCTAGTAGCCAATCTTCTGGTGATGAACTTCTTTGAACTTAGCTAAATCTGTCATCTCATGAAATACATGCAGAAAATGGTCAATATTCAGAGCTATAACTAGCATAATATCACTGGGTTCCTTACATAATTTGCCAGAAGATTGGGTTGCTGATACCTTAGAGGAGAAAGGGGGATGGGGAGAAGGTAAGAATTTTCTTCCCACAATTTTCTTTCCTCCCCTCAGAAATCTATTAATCAACAATCATTTATTAAGTGTTTATTTTTTTAATGTTCCAGGTGTTCTGTTAGGAAAGAAGCCCAGTCCACAGGTGTCAGTTTCCCTATCCTCAGCAAAAACTGGAGTACCATCTTCCTTATCAATAAATACCCTATTGCCCTCATGTCACTCTCTTGGTGAACATTTTCTCTACCACCACCACCACTAATGTGCTTGTGTGATCGGATACCCAGGCAACTTAGTATACCCAACATTAATACAGATTCAGAACCCTTGTCTGCCTCAGTGAGCTCCATTCCTTCACCTTTAATATTAGGATGAACTAAATCTGCCCAACGTCCTAGAATTCTCACTTATGGTTCTACCAATACTCAAACTTTTCCTATTTTTTAGTACTTAAAAGAGTTTGTATTCACTGTCAGTTTCCAAAATCCAGAGTAAATACCATGTAACAATAAAGCTTCTGCAGAGAGTTTGGATTAAAACATCAACATGCTTAGGGCAATAACACAAAAAATGAGACCTTAGAAAATGTTCATAAGCTATACTAAATACATACATACATATATTTGTGTGTGTGTATGAATACATATACAGAGAGACAAAGACAGAAAGAGAGAGAGAGAAAGAAGAATAAATGTAGAAAAAAGTTAATCACTGCTGCACTCAAATCATATCCAATTCTGCTTATTTTCCATTTGGTCAGATGGTTCAATGACAATTGATCATTTACTCATTAAGGCTGCAAACCACCCCTAGTCACCCAGTTTCTCAATCAAGATGCCATCCTCAACTCCTCACTCTAACTCACCACTAACCTCAACTGTAATCAGTTGACAAATCTTATATAGATTAGATGTCTATAACATCTCTCACAACCCCCTTTTTTCTGCTCATACTGACACCTAGTTCAGGACCCTCTTGCCTGTACTGACTGGTCTGTTTGAATATTCTTCAAGTTGGCCTTGCTGCCTCAATTATCTTCACCACTATAATCAATCTTCTACATAGCTGTTGAAATGATTTGTTTTTCAAAAACAGAGATTTTACCATGTTAGCCCTCTTCCAATAAACTCCAGTAACTCCTTATTATGTGGAGGTGTAGGATAAAATATAAACTCCTCCATTTGGCATTTAAAGATCTTCACAAAATCTAATTCTTTCTTATCATTATGGTCTTTTTACACATTATTCTCACTCATGCTATTACAGCTACTGAGTCAAAGAACTGGAGGTATGTCCATCTCACTAGATGTCTTTAAATGGAAGCTGGGTGACCAATCTCTAGGCATTCATAATTTAAATAAGGATTGAACTAGATAATTTCTCAAATATTAATCAAGTAAGCAATGGGCATTTATTCGAGTACCTGCTATGTTCCAGACATTGTGCTAGGTAATAGAGAAACAGCTACAAAAATAAAGTGGCTTAAGCTCTATCAGGGAACATAATAGGCATATAAATAATTATTTATGGTTTCTTGTAGAAAATTGGAAGACATCTTTCATTCTCTTATGCTACGATTTTATGATCAGTCTCTATTCAGCTACTAAGTATAACCACAGCACATAAATTCACCAGAGACATAAACCTCATCTTTATTAATGTCATATTTATTCTATATTAACAAGGTATTTTATGAATACTCACAAAGGGAGCCAGTGGTCAATACGAGACAGACTTATACAGTGTTCCCCTTTAGACATTCTAGAGTTCATCTAAACTGGCCTACTTGCTGTTTCTTATAGATAGCACCTCTGTTTCCCATTTCCATGTCCCATATTGGGCATTCATAACCTTCTGACCTCCACACTTAGAATCCTTAATTACAGCAAAGTCTCCAATTAGTGGGAATAATGAATTCCATTTCTAAAGTGGTTCCATTATTTGAATTTGATCATATTGCATATTTTCATTGGGCTAGAACCAATCGCTGTATTTAACATAATTATAACTTCAAATAGTGTAAATTTGATTTTTTGTGAGCCCTTTACAAAGACACAGTATTTGAACTAATCTAAACCTTGATGCACCTTCAAAATAAAGCTCAAATGTCACTTTCTACCTGAAACTTTTCATGATTTCCCCCTGCTAGTAGGACCCCAACCTATATTATTTGTATTTATTTTGTATAGTCTTGTATGCATAGTTCTCCTTGTATATATTCCTTTGGGGACAGGAATGTTTTATGCTTGCCTTTTTAACTTCACTGCCCAACACAGTGACTGGTTCATAGTAGGTACTTAATAAATGCTTGTTGATTAATTAATTGGTATGAGATTATTCTGATTATACAAAAAATATTACAGTTCCAAAATTAAGCAGATAATAGTCTCACTGTAAACTAATCAAATCATGCCTGAAGGATTGTGTCCATTTCTGGGTACCACACTTTTGAAAATGATTATTTAGAGTGTGCACATTGGATGGGGACAAGTATGCTATGTGGGAAATAACCAAAAAGGTTTAATCACAAACAAAGAAATTGTAGGGATTAGAGTTAAGAGAAGACATAGTAAGTTTTTAAAAAGCCTTCCTTTTTTATGAAAGAAGAGCTAGAATTGGTTTTCATGGTCCCAACAGCTACAAGGATCAAGAAGATAGCAGTCAAAGAAGGTAGCAAAGTGTCTGATTGTAGTTGGGATGGAATGGCAATTTGAAGGTCACAATAAACACTAAAATGTCTGGAAGCAAAGTTTTACTACTTGCAACTCAAAAAGGTAGAATTCATGGATTCCCACCATCCCATCTCCCTAGCTCAGTCTCACTAGGGAAATAGGCAAGAGACAGAATGAAATGCAATGGGCATGTTCTGTTTAGAGGACACAAGCAAAGAGTGAGAGATTCATGTAGATAGAAGTTTTGGCCCAAATGAATGTGGAACAATTAGAAATGGCAGAGAGTGTTCAAATTTTAATTATGGCATAGCAAGCCAGCTAAATGAGGAAGTTACAGCAGACTAGGTTTGATTCCACCTTAAGTAAACACACCCTGTTTTACGGCCACAGAGAGAAGTTTCAGGTTCAACTCCTATCCCTGGTTACTCAATAAAATACTTCCTAAAAATTAAGTCTGAGCAAAAGTGGAATGCCCTGACTCTTAATGATGACAATGAGGAGGAGGAGGAGGAGGACGAGGATGAAGATGATGATGATGATGACAACAGATAGTATTTATTTATCACTTTAATATTTGGAAGACACTTTAAAAACTATCTCATTTTATCCTCACAACTACCCTGGGAGGTAGATGTGTTATTATACTCATTTTACAAATGAAGAATCTTAGCCTTAGCATGCCTTAGCATGAAGAAATTCAGTGATTTGCCTAAGGTCACTCAACTAGTAATAATTTGAGGCCACATTTGAATTCAGAAGTTTCAGATATGAAGTTCAATGCTATATCCTTACTCATATCCATATACTGAAACCCAAATCCATTTATTCCAAAAGTAGCAAATTCCTCATCATATGGGGGAGGCTCAACTGTTATTTGAAAGATTACTATTCAGATAAGGATTGTACCAGATGATAATAGATAACACTTAAATCATACCCACTATGGCCCAGGAACTCTGTTAAGAGTTTTAGAAAAATTTTCTACTTTGATCTTCACAACAACCCCGGGAGTTAGGTGCTATTGTTATGCACATTTTACATAAAAAAATAAGGCAAACAGAGATTAAGTGGTTTGTCCAAGGTCACACAGCTAGGAAGTGTTTGAAGTTAGATTTGAACTCCCGTTTTCCTGACTGTAAGCCCAGGGCTCTATGCACTGTGTTATCTAGAAGAGGTCCTTTTCAACTCTGAAATTCCTTGTTTCTATTATGCATCCATGAAATTGTGAATACTAAGGAAACTGATGAAGAATAGGATGTATTCTTTTTAGAATTGTAAAGGGAATGAAATTTCATGCAGAAATAATAGGATATACTGCCTGGCCATTCCAGCTTGGATAATTTATTGTTTTCTGTTGAAACATCAAAGTGAAGGAGAATTGAACAGGAGTTGATAGACTTAAAGTATTTCATAGAATGATGAAACCATGATGTATATGAACAAAAGTTAAAGGTATCCCTAGGCTCTTTGTAAAATATAAAAAATGAGTTTCACAACCAATCATCAATTCCCTGAAATCCATTGCTAAAAGATAGGGTTTTGATTTGTGATTGTATAGAGAAAAGGAAGGACCTGTCCTTTTATTGGCATAGGGAACTCTCAGTTGAGGAAACTAAAATTAAAAGTATGATATACTTTTTTTTTTCAAACAGAGACTGTTGTTAAATATTTACCAGAAAGCCTTTATCTGTTCCTTTTTTACTGTGGACTGATCTTCACGAGAAAGAAAGAGAAAATTCATTATTTCCACTGAGCTTACAAGAGCAGTAGGATCACCTTTCTGACAACAATTCCTTTCCAGGACTTTGAGAAGAAGTATGGAATCATAATGCCATTGAATTAACTTGTTTGAGACTCTATCAGGGCTGAGGATCTGTGACCTCAAGGCCACATGTGGCCTTCTAGGACCTTGAGTGTGGCCTTTTGACTGAGTACAAATTTTGCTGGACAAATCATTTTATTAAAGGGATTTATTCTGTGAAATTTAGATTCCGTCACAGGACTGCACTTGAGGACTTAGAGGGCCACATGAGGGCCTGGAGGCCACAAGTTCCCCACCCCTGGGAGATGTACCCTGGAAGTTTGACTTGCCTACTTTTTTGGCTAACAGTAGAGTGTTCTCTCAGAGTTCAACTTACATTGTCTCCTTTATTCTAAGAACAAATATAAAGGGACCAAGGTTATTTCCTTTTTTAACTCTTCATTCGTCTTACTCCCCTTATCATTTCTTCAATTTATATAACCTAAAGTGAATTTTTTTCATAAATTTACAGAAGTTAAATAGCAAGCAGCTTGTCATAATAGATAATGTTTCTTCAATCCAGGAAAGCCAGCCTCTGAATTATGTGTGTGTGAGGCTGGATAGCTCCCTTCACTGTTTTAAGAAATTTTCTAAGATTAAATGTTGTTAGAGAAAGCATTGATATAAATTGGTAGAGGTTGAGCCCTCACAGTTCCCATATCTACCACAGTTCCTGAGCCCACTTTTTTCATCCATTAGAATGTTTGCTTCTTGAGGACAGGGAAGAACTGCTTTGTTTTAAATTTTATTTCATTTTCCTTTCTTTGTATCCCATTTTTTTTAGGCAATTGGGGTTAAGTGACTTGCCCAGGGTCACACAGCTAGTAAGTGTCAAGTGTTTGGTCTGAGGCCGGATTTGAACTCAGGTCCTCCTGACTTCAGGGCTGGTGCTCTACCCACTGTGCCACCTAGCTGCCCCTGTTTCCCAATTTCTTAAGGCAGTAGAAGCATACCTCATTTTATTGTGATTTGTTTTATTGTGCTTCACAGATATTGCTTTTTTGTTTTTACAAATTGAGAATTTGTTGCATCTTTGTATCTCTCTTAGCCATTTTTGTAACACCATGTTTCAGTGTCATATTTTGATAATTCTTGCACTATTCCATACCTCACTATTATTATATCTGTTATGGTGATCTATGATCAGTGATCTTTAATGTTAGTATTGTAATTGTTTTGGGGCTCCGTGGACTTCACCCATATAAGTTAGTGAACTTAATCTATAAATGTTTTGTGTGTTCTAACTGCTCCACCAACTAGTCATTTCCAATCTCTTTTCCTTCCCTCAGATCTCTCAATTTCCTGAGACACAACAATATTGAAATAACGCCAATTCATAACCCTACAGTGGCCCCTAAGTGTTCAGATGAAAAGAAGAGCCAAACAATGTTGCAAACTTCGTTATCTTATTTTAAGAAATGGCCACAACCACCCCAAACTTCAGCAATCATCACCTTGATCAGGCAACAGCTATCAACACTAAGGCAAGACCCTGTACCTGCAAAAAAGACTATAAGTCATGAATTTTCAGATGATGATTAGCATTTTAGCAATGAAGTGTTTTTAATTAAGGTATGGTTGTTTTGGGGCATAATATTGTATGCTTAATAGAATAGAGTATAAACATAACTTTTACATGGACTGGAAATCTGAAAATTTTATACCACTAACTTTATTGAAATATTGGTTTTATTATGGTGATCTGGAACTAAATTTGCAACATCTCTGATGTGTACCTGTACCTGGAACTGAGTAAGTGCTTAATAAATGCCTTCTCAATCTTGACTCATTCCAATCAATCTAATATCTCCGATATACTCAGAAACTCAGTGTTTGTGTCTGTTTTGTAATGCCGTAGCTTTTTTAATATAGATTTCATATGCTTGTGTACATATTTCTTATTTATGATTACTAATTTGTTATTCAATTTTACAAATGTTATTAAGCATTTAATTATGCAAGGCATAGTGGGAGGTACTGAGGATACAAAACTAAAATGAAATAATCTCTTTCCTCTAACAGTTGACATAGTACTAAGGAATATATCACATTGTATAGATAAGTACATGCAAGGTTGATTTGAAGATAAAGAATGCAATAACTAAGGGAGGGTAGATCAAAGAAATTTTCAATTCTTAAAGTGATCTAAGGATTCTAAGAGGCAGAAATAAGAGAGAATGCATTTCATTTGTGTAGTAAAGAATGTACAAAGGCATGGTGGTAAGACATTGAGGAAGGATTTTGGTAAGAATGTGGAATGTATGAAAGGGAAGTAAATACAAATTATTGCAGGAAGGGGAAGTTCAAGTCAGATTTCAGAGGACTTTTAATGACAATCTGAAGAAGACAGACATTTATGTCTGAATTTTTTGAAACTATGAATAGTTCCAAGTGTAGAGCTTTGTATTTGGTTTATAGTTAACAAATATTTGCCTTGTAAATAATCCAAATTCCCTACTCCCTCTACCAAAACCAGGTAGTGGGAGCAGAGATCTTCTAATTGGAAGAGACTTGAGTGTTCCCCTAGTCTAAAATTTTATACAAAATAAAAATCAGCATAATTTCCAGGTGGTTATCTAGCTCCTACTTATCTGATTAAGAAACATACACACACACACACACACACACACACACACACACACACACGCACACTAAAATCTGAAAAAAAAAAGAATAGAAGGACACTCAGACAGGAATCCAACAGTTTTGTGATTTGTAGCATACATGTTGTAGAGAATCACAGTTCTGACATGTTATTTGAAATTTAAAATGAATAATTTTGCAATGCAATAATCTTACACTGGCCAGAGGCAGAAAGCAACAAGAACTTTCCAGGATCTGTAGGTACAGCGAGCCATTTCTAGAATGTTTATTTAAGTGTCAGATAAGTCACTGAGTTGGAGAACCAGTAAAGAAATGGTTTGATTCTGCAAAACTCAATATACTCAGTCTACTGGGGAATCTTAGAGAAGCTGACAGGTTTTCCAACTGTCCAAGATGACAATCAAGCCAGTGGAGAAAAGCAATCTTTGCGACTCCCCATCAATTGCAGGATATTGTTAAAGGACATCCAAGGTTCTTCACAATAGAATTTCAACTTATGTATTCTATCTTATGTCCCACTTTGCATACACATATATAGAGGGAAAACAATTTATTTTTCAAAATTTTTTGTGTAACCAAGAACCCTTATTTTGAACAAGATGTGCTTATTAAGCCATTTGGGACTTTCCATTCTAGAGCAATGTCTTTGCGACAAAAATTGTCTTTGTGGAACTTGGGATTTTTTTTTTAATAAGAAGCAATGTCTGTAATAACTCCTTCAAATATGGGAATCTAACACTTCATTAGTTACTTATGTTTTGCCTTCCACAGAATGCTACTGATTGGTTGAGTGCTATAAGCAGGCCTGAAAAGTTACGTAAACTAAATGTGTAAGTTAGGAAGCTAGTAATCCTCAGTAAATAATCTTTCTTAACACGTTAGTAAATTTATTTTCTTTTCATTTTCACTGCTTGATTATTTGACCTCTTTGCCTTGAAGATCTACTGGTGCGTGAATTATTCTCAGCAGATCAGCTCCCTCTCAGTTGAGAAATTCCCAAATATTTATAACATACCTCTAGATCTACCCCAATTGATGACAGACTCACCACTTCACAAATACATTTATCTTCTGACATTTTCTCTCCATTCTCCCTTTACCTGGACTGTTCTTTATCTGTCCAAAATCTACCCAACTCCCAAAATCTAATTACATCTCACTTTCTCTAGGAAATCTTACTTGTTCACCACAGATAGCCCATTGATGCCCCTGCCTCCTTGTACTCCTATAGTGCTTATTTATGCATCATTCATTTCAAATTTATTTTGTATTACTTTATAATAGATATTATATCAAAATGTAACCTATTTCCCCAACAAAGAGGCTAGCATTTATATACAACATTTTAAGGTGTGCAAAGCACTTAATGTTTTTCTCATTTGGACCTCCCAATAAACTGGTGAAGTTTTACAGATGAGGAAACTGAAGCTGAAAGTTAAATGACTTGACAAAGGTCACACAATTAGCAAATGCCTGAGGCATGAGTTGAGTTCAGGTTTTCATAATTCAAAATCCATCAGTCTAACCAACTGCCTTTAAAACCTCTCAAATTGTATTTCCTATAGATATGTTAAACTGAACATGTCTAAAACTGCCTTCATTTCTTTCTCTCCAAATCATCCCCTTTTCCTAACTTCCCCATTACTCAGGTGTTGTCTTTGACTCCTCACTCTCACTCCACAACAATCAGGTCTGTAGTTTCTACCTTTGAAACATCTCTGTTGATTCCCCCTTCTCTCTTCTGACATTGCTACCACCGTAGTGTGGGCCCTAATCACACCTAGACTATTGCGATAGGTTACTGGTTGGTCTCCATGTCTTAAGGATCTCCCCACTCCAATTCCTCCTCCACTTATCTGTCAAACTGATCTTCCTAAGAGGTAGGTGCAACCATATTACATACACATACAACCTCATTCAATCAACTGTAATGTTTCCCCTAATCTATCAAATAACAAATAAAAAAAAATCTGCTATTTGGTTTTAAAAACCTTTGTAACCTGGCTCCTTGCTACCATTCCAGTCTTTTTACACCTGCCGTCCTCCTTCTCTGTGATTCACTGACTTCTTTGCTGTTCCTTGTCCGTGTCCCTCCATCTCCATTCCAATTACTGTATAATTCCATTGGGGTGTATGGATGGTCCAGGCTCTTTTCATAGTTGCTCATTCACCTTTGATGTCCACCTGTCACTCAACACTTACCTATGGCTCCAATACCTACACTTATTACCTATAGCTTATGTACCAGCCACCCCACCCTCATTAAAACCATTTCAACAGATGGGCTAAATCAGGTTGAGAGTAACTTACAGCCCTTTGAGCACTCACTCATTGGTGAGTTTGGGGTATATCTACCCTAAATATATGAAGTTTTTCCCCAGGGGAATGGGCAGATGAGAACAATTTGTTCCAATGGCCATGGTGGTTGAAGGTAGCTGAAGCAGGTACTGTGGAGCAATTTAGAGCTTGGTCAGACATCAGAGATAACAAGGTCATCTACTATATCCTGGTACATCACCAGTTGTCCTGACTTTTGTGTTGCTACTGGACTTCAATGACTCTGGAAGAGAGTGTGAGGCTGATGACTTTGTGTAATTCTGCTTCACTTAAATCCAATTCACCCAGAAGTCAAGACATCACTCCATGATGTCATTGATCTTATTCAAAATCAATGACAAAAAATACTTTTACTGGCTGTCCTCCATACCTGAAACACTTTCATTCCTTGTCTCTGTCTCCTAATTTCCCTTACTTTCTTTAAGTCTCGCTACAGTCTCACTTTCTGAAAGAAACCTTTCCAGTCCCCCTTAATTTTAATTCTTTTTCTATGAGCTTACCTCACAATTTATTTCATATTTATCTTATTTATATATAGTTTTTTGTATGTTGTCTAATCCCCAAATTGGACTGTGAACTCCTGAGATCAGGGACTGTTTTTGTCTTTTTTTGAATCCTTAGGACTTAGCACCTTCCCCACACAGTAGGTACTAAATATGGTAATTGACAGACTGTACCTCTAAAGTGCTTAGAATGTAGACAAGCTTATTGAAGGTGACCTGACACCTTCAATGGTTTTCACATATCAAGTACTTGATAAATATTTGTTTAATGATTTCCTGATTTTTCTGTGGAAAACTAGCAGCATGCTATTTTTTTTAAATGCAGGCATCATGGGAATTTGCCCAGCAGGTTTTGCAGGTGGGTGGATAAGTTAAATCTTTTCCTGTCAATATCACTCAAAGAGATTGGCTTTTTTAGCAATGCTAGAGTAAATTATGTCTTCAGAATAAACATGAGGTTGAAGCAGATATTCTAAATATCCAGTCCAATTCCCCCTCCTGGCACCCTGACACATGAATCCCCAATTCCCTTGTAGGAATAGCCAACATTTATATAGCACATTAAGCTTAGCAAAGTACTTTATGCATATTATCTCATTTGAGCCTTACAACTCAAAGAAGTAGGTATTATTATCCCAATTTTACAGATGAGGCAACTGAGGCAGAGAGAGGTTAAGTGACTTGCCAAGGGTCAAATAGCCAGTAAGGATCTGAGGTGGGATTCAAAGTCAGATTTTCCTGACTCTGAGTACAACATTTTATTTACTGTGTCACATAACTACCTAACAGATGGGATTTACAATGCAAAAATTGGTTTTACATCTCTCGTTGTAGTTTGTTTCATAGTGTCGTATATTCTGTGTGTGTGTGTGTTTCTTGGTGGGGGCCAGGGGAGGAGAGGATGGCAAAGTCATAGAAACTAGGCTATAAGTCTTTTCTGAGACAGACCCTGCAAACAATGCCATACACAATAATTAAAGGAGCCGATGGAAATTGTTCTGTTTCCCAAGCTCCCAGCTACTGGTTTCTTCGATACCATGTCTTTGCTCTCTAGCTCGAACATTCAAACTGATTTTCACTTCTCTCATTCGAACACTGAAAGTTCCCAGGCTTGGTACCAAAAAAATT